CAGGTGTGGGCGAGCCGGCCCTGTGAGCACAGGTGTGGGCGAGCCGGCCCTGTGAGCACAGGTGTGGGTGAGCCGGCCCTGAAGCCAGCAAGGGAGAGCTGTCACCATCACCCATCTCTCCAGTGGTGGCATGGGTGGGTGGGGGAGAGTTGCCCCTATCAGTGCCTGAGGCAGGTGTGAGAACTGGTCCTGAGGTCACAAGAGCAGGAGAGTTGTCCCTGCCCTCCACCGGCTGCGACATTTGGGAGAGCAGACCCTGCACCTCACCTGGGTAACACAATAGAGCTGACCCTGTTGGCAGAGGAGTGGGGAGCCAGCCCCAAAGTTATAAGCATGAGAAAGCTGTCTCCACTACTCTTCTGTCACATGGTGATGTGGGGGTGGGGGTAAGAGATGTTCCTCTTTACCCCTCACCTCTTACCACCAGCAACAGATGGGAAAGCCGCCCCCCCCCCCTTAACCGCTACAGCACTCGGGAAACAGGCTCTGCCGCTCACATGGGCAGCACAGCAGAGCTGCCTGGATGTTGGAGGTGAAGATGACCCAGCCCCAATGTCATGAGCAAAGGAGAGCTGTCCCCATTACTCATCTGACATGTGGTAGCATGGGCAGAGGAGAGATGCCCTCCCCACCCCCACCTCCTGCCCATCAACACCTGAGACAGGTGGAGGAGCTGGCCCTGGGGTTTTAAGAGTGGGAGAGCTATCCCTACCCCTCATCAGCTGCAACACACTCCGGGGAGTGGTCCCTGGACCAACACAACAGAGCTGGCCCTAATGGTGTAGGTGTGGGAGAGCCAATCCTGAAAGCGTGAAAAAGGAGAACCGGCCCCACCCCTCACTCATTGCTGCATGAGGTGGATTAGCCTGGGCAAACGCTGGAGAGCCCACCTGGTGGGGAGGACAGGGGAGAGCTGGTGGGCTGACCAACCCTGCAGCTCCCCAGGCTCAGACCCAGGGTTATGAGTTAGCCCACCTCAGCATCCACCCCATCTATGACCTGCTGGAGCATGTGAAGGGGCCTGACCTGCAGACCCTAAGCTGCAGGATTTTCCACTACACAGGGCAACAACAGGATACCCAGGAAGAGCCCTGGTGAGGACCCAGCACTGATAGTGTAGTAGAAACCAGAGGCCTTGAATCAGACCAATGACTCTTGGCAACGAACACTTGCAAGTAAAGATATACGGACAAAGGGCTTTCCTTTGTGACTCACTGGCACACTGCAGCTTCCATGACGAGATATTTTATTTTTTCCTCTTAAATTTTTTTTTATTTGGGGGGGGGGGGGTTGGCAGGCAGATGGGAAAATGGAAGGGATCAAGATACATGATGTAAAAGAATAAATAAAAAGAAATTAAAAAAATAATTGCTGTGATCATGGTATCTTCACAGCAATGGAAACCCCAAGACAGTGTCACCATGAAAATTTTTATTTTATTTATTATTTAATTTGGGGTGGGTGAGACGGGGTTTCTCTGTGTAACATCTCTGACTGTCCTGGAACTCACTTTGTAAACCAGACTGGCCTCAAACTCAGAGATCAAACTCAGGCCTGCCTCTGCCTCCCAAGTACTGGGATTAAAGGCGTGCGCCACCACTGCCTGGCTGAATTTTGTTTTTCAATGGTAGAGTTAACTCATTATTTCACTATTTTTTCCATAAGAAAAATTCATCTTCCTTGCTCCAAAATTTCACTGAGGAAGCATCTGTATGTCATGGGACCAACTCAGTCAAACATCCAGCCTGTTTATGGGGAAATTTTTAGCAGGCATGTGCAGGCTATGGTGCTGGGAAGTGTCGTGTGTGGGTCTAGAAAAGCATGTTAGGGCAAAACTAAAAATAAATAAAAACCTACAGCTTTTGTGCCAGGTAAAATGGTCTTGGTGTAATAAATAACTCTAGTGTCTTTTCAAACTTATGACACTTAGTAACTTAATATTTACTTCATCAATTAAAATCAATATTTTAATTAAAGTTCTTCATTGTCATTGGCAATCTTTCTTTCAAAACTTTCCTCTATGTGTAAATTTTTCTTTTAAAAATGAAAATTTACTTAGGAATAAGTGTATCTTAACAAAAAAGACTATGAATCCCACTACAGTATTAGTTATCATTTGGTAATTCTGTTGTCAGAAGCAACATGAACTTGCTTAGCTGAAGCCAAAGTGTCCTCAAAGCTGGATTTCTTTCTGCAGACTTCAGGAGAGAATTCATTTCTTGCCTTTTCTACTTTGCAGAGGCGACCTGCAATCTTTGGCGTAAGGTCAGAAACATGGCATGGCATTCATTACTCAGACCCTTCTTCTCTCTTTTCATCATCTCTTCTTATGGCCAGTGGTTGGAAAAGTCCTCAGTTCTTAAGACTCTGGATTAGATCAACTCTCCCTAGGTTAACCTTTTAAAATACCTTAATAAGTCAAAACAACTCCGAGTGCTAAGGTTAGGATATGACCATACTTGGGAGACCTAGAAGATTACTAGATTTGTAGAATATCCACTGTGGTCATTCAAGTATGTCTAAGAACATGTTCAAGACTGACATTGCCTAGCTGCTAACTAATCCATACCAAGGAGGGTATGGAAAAATAGGACTGTACCCATAAGGACTTGACCAAATACAGGTGGCTCTTACATGAATGGGAAGACTCAAGAGGTCTGGTATCAATTTCTCAGCTAGGGTAACATCCAAGAAAAGATGATAGGAAAAGGAAAAAGAGTTAAAAATCCAAATATTCCTGTAATCCTATAGAAAGAAGTACTCAAGTAAGCAAGTGGAGTCAAGGCTATGGCCAGCCTTCAAGAGAGTCGCAGAAATACAGGAGGGTGGCAGACCTGTAGAGCCCTGCAGGTCAGATGGCAAAGAGACCTGAGTAATTGGCGACTGAGAATGAATGATTTCAGGTGTTCGTTCTTACCATCAATAAATCTGCTGTGGAATTCTTTGCTAGCTTGGTTAGCTATTGCTTTATGGTTAGCCAAAAGAATAGACACAGGGTAAATGAGCAGAAATTTCTACCCATCAATGTAACTCAAAGGAAGGAACAGTATGAGAAAAATTTCCCAAGTTGTAATGCTCACTCATAAGTTGTTGGACAGAGTGTCACTATGAAAAAAATTTCTCGTTCTTCCCTTAAAATTCAAACACAAGTCAAAGGCTGTACCATGAAAGCAGCCAGTGCTCTTCAGGGTCTCACATGTCACACTCGAGCCAAGGAGTTTGTGTGCATTTAGTTCTTGAACCGTGGCACAATATTTGCAAACTAAGCCATAAAGGGAAGAAGAGTGTAGTAAAAAGCCGCACTGAAGAAGAACTGAGGGCTCGGGCTGATGACACAAATTTCTGCAACAAAAACAAAGCTGCTTCCCAAAGCTGCTATGCAGACTTTCTCGGGCTGGTATACGTGGGGTTTGGTTGGTGACGCTGTTTTTTCTTTTAGGTTTGATTGGATGGTCTCAAAAAAACCGATGCACAGGGCTCATAACCATATCTGAATACAGTGTGTGTGTGTGTGTGTGTGTGTGTGTGTGTGTGTGTGTGTGTGTGTGTGTGCACGTGTACATGTATGTATAAGGGAATATGAGATGTTGACCTAGAAAAGAAGTTAAGGAGGCTGGGTGGTGGTGGTGCACACCTTTAATCCCAGGCAGATCTCTGTGAGTTCAAGGCCAGGCTGGTCTACAGAGCGAGATCCAGGACAGGCATCAAAACTACAAGACT